ACTATACCCCCGCCCCAAAGAAAAAAAAAAGAAAAGAGAACCTAAAAAATACTTTAAACCTTAACTTAAACGATAAACAACTATACCCCCGCCCCAAAGAAAAAAAAGAAAAGAGAACCTAAAAAATACTTTAAACCTTAACTTAAACGATAAACAACTATACCCCCGCCCCAAAGAAAAAAAAAGAAGAAAAGAGTACCTAAAAGTACAACAGTTACAGGACAACATACTACCCACACAATATTATCTGATAGCTTGACAGATGTTTGACCAGTGGGTGGAAAGCTATGTATCCTCCCCGAACAAAAAACCCCCCAAAATCTACAACCCCTTCCCCCTTTTCTGTCCCCAGAACTCATTAATGAAAGAACGTACAGCTTAAAAAGAAATACGACCAAAAAAAAAAAAAGAAAAAAAGAAGGAAAACAGAAAAGAGAAAGGACACCAAGCAAAATCACCAACTTTAATTTTCTCCACATGGACATTTAGATACAATGTCGTAACGAGCAGTATTTTCTTCAATCAAACCAAATGTTTCCTTAACAGCCGGTTACGCACGGCATCACGATATGTTTTAGAGCCAATAAAAATGGCAGCTATCACTGTGTATTTCCTGAGAAGTTGAGAGTCACAGAATGTTATCAGGTCTGCTAAGGGTAAAATATAAATTGTAAAACGCACAGAACTTGCTGTTGAGAGGGAATTTACGCTTATCTTATCTTATCTTATCTTATCGTATCTTATCTTATCTTATCTTATCTTATCTTATCTTATCTTATCTTATCTTATCTTATCTTATCTTATCTTATCTCGTCTCGTCTCGTCTTATTTTATCTTATCTTATCTTACCTTATTTTATATCGTCTCGTTTTGTCTGGTCTCATCTTATTTTTATCTCATCTTATCTTTTACAGGTGGGCTTCGCACCTGCCCCAGCCGGCAACACAACAGTGATCGTGAACCAGCCTATGTCGGACAAATCTCAAGTGAGAGACTGGGGCACCGGAGTCTTCAGCTGTTTCGACGACATGAAGATCTGTGAGTGGCCTCTGGACACAGGTCCATGAAAAGCTTACACTCACGTATACGACTGGTGTACACACAATGCATAATACATACACACACGCATGAGCGTACAAGCACATACCTACACATACGAACACAAACCCAAAGAAAAACGTACACATATGTGAACGATTGACGTACACACACACACACACACACACACACACAGACACACACACACACACACACATATGATACATACATACATACATACATACATACATACATACATACATACATACATACATACATACATGCATACATACATACATACAAACATACATACATACATACATACATACATACATACATACATACATACATACATACATACATACATACATACATACATACATACATACATACATACATAAGCAACATGTCCGCGAAAACATACACGTAGGTATACAACAGATACAGGTGCACAAAGACACACATTCACGTATGCGCGTGCACGCACGCACACACACACACACACACACACACACACACACACACACACACACACACACATACACACATACACACACACATAATGTAATTATATATATATATATATATATATATATATATATATATATATATATATATATGTATAATATATATACATATATATTATATTATATATATAATTCTATGCTAAGTAAAGGAAATAGATGAACATTTACTTTAAAAGATCAAGTTAAAAATACAAAAACTAGATCTAACAAAACCAAACAACGACAAACTTACGAGTGCCTGTCAATTTCCTCCCGTTCCAGGTCTGTGTGGATGGTGCTGCCCTCTGTGTCTGGGCTGGAATGTGGCCACCGACCTGGGAGAGACTGGCATTATCGTCTGCTGTGTTCCTTCCTGGTTGACCGTCGTAAGGACCAAGCTGCGCACTCAGCAAAAGATCCAGGTAATTAGTTTAAGATTAAGAAACGTGTCTCGATGAGGTAGAATCTGGGGCTCGCCAATTTTTCAGGCCATAATAATGTGGAGTTAGTTAATACAGTGTGGTAAAAAATTCGTGGCGCAAGTCATAGTAAAATATTTCCTAAACTATCGAACATAAACTCTCCACCTCTTGCACAATGACTCATCAATTTGTCTTAACAGATCAATATTTTTAAAAACCCCTGCCCACTTAATTTTAGAAAATTCCCTGAAAGATACTAACAAAAAGCCCCAGTATATAATTTCTACACATTTAAAAAGGTTTACAGTTGGAACATTATTGCTTTTGAAAACAAGTTCGTCATTTTTTTTCCTAATCGTGACATTATAATTATTGAAGACATATTTTGAGAACCTATAGTGCAAAAGAAGTGATCATTGTATTTATTTCTTGTAACAAGTTTTGCCACTAAAGAGTGTCATCATTTGTGAGCTGTGACGTAGACCATGCGTATGCAAAATGTGTGTGGGAAGCAGGAAGGTCTTTGAACAATCCCATTTTCCGTGTGGTGGGGATTTATGACATTTGAAATAAATTAAAGAAGAAGAGTAATTTAATCTAGCCTCAATTGTTGTGTAGAAAAACATGATTGGGGTAAAACACATTGATACCAACTACTGTGCAAAGTATGTGTGACCTTATATCCCCCGTTGAAGAGATATTTCAGGATACGCAGCACCACGATTCCCGGGTGGGAAGAAAAATAATGTTTATCAAGTATATCCAATCGGTCTTTTTAATGGGCTGGTCCTGACAAACAGGTTGAGAAGCCAGCCTCCTAAATGATCTAAAGCGTGCCTATGTGGGAGTAAATCACACCATTCTTTAAAATTTATTTGTCTGTAAAGTTTTCTTTCTGATTCTCCTCATAGATCTATTTGTATTTTTCAATGGCTGTTGGCATTGTTACTATTTTATTACTGATTTTCATTGTAATGTTCAGTTGTGTCACTTCATCGTTGCTTTTTCTTGTCTCCCCTCCCCCCTCCCCCATACGGACCTATCTGTAACGACTGCAAAAAGTCTGACTGTTGCTCCAGTGACTACTCTGTAACGTTTCTATAAATAATATAAAGTCACTTCCTCGTTACAGTTCTGTTACTAATGAGTTCTTTGTGTTCTCTTTTCTCCCCCCCTCCCCCTCACCCCCCCTTCCTCCCCTCCCCCTCTCTCCCCTCCCCCTCTCTCCCCTCCCCCTCCCTCCCCTCCCCCCTCCCCAGGGTGATGTCTGTAACGACTGCATGATGTCCGAGTGCTGCGGCATCTGCGTGCTGTGCCAGGTTGCCAGAGAGATCAAGACCTGCAAAGCGAACGGCACACTCAACAACACCGTCTAGACTCGTGACGTCACATCCGGGGCCTGGACCGGTGGTTAAGGAGCAGCCCGTTGTGGAGGGAACATAAACACCGGGCCGGGCCGCTGTGTCGCTCAACTGAGAGTTGTTGTTGTTTTTGTTGTTGCTGCTAACCATTTACCATTTTGACGGTTTATCCATGTTTTATACCCGCATTAAAAATTTTGCCTAGTAGTTATTTGGGGTGTTTTTTGGGTACAGACTTATAATGTCAATAAATTTATGCATTCATGCAGACCAAGCAGATGTGTCTAAAGCCGTAGCATTATCTTTCTCCTATTTTTCGATATGAGCCACTGCCATCAAAGACAGTATCTGAAGGGGAAGGCAATGGCCAGCCCTTACACGGCCTGGAGCTTTGTTTTAAGATCCCTTCCCCTGACCATTAGAACAAAACGAAACAAAACAACGCAAAAAACAAAACCAAAACCAAAACCGGCAACTGAAACGCAGGGGAGAGAAAATCAGAAAGAAAAGTAGGTGTAATTATTGTTGCGATCAAGGCAACGGGAACCGATACAAACATGAATTAAAAATCTACTGGGTTATGTTCCTTAGTCCTTAAATCTCCACCACCGGCGGGCACGGAAATGTACGCAATTTTTAAATGATGGTATCAATTCTCTTTTTAAATAGTAGACAAATATCGAGTACCAAAGTTGTTGGTGCGCATCAGATCCGTACTTTTCACCAAGTATCAAGGGTTTTTTTCTTTCTGAAGTCAACAATCCAGAATTTTATTTGATAAATCAGGGGAAACGTTTTGGCATTTGTTACCCCCTCGCCAGGTATACGTTGTATAATCCTTAGAATCATTTAGTAAACAAAATTAATTCATTTAACCACACCTAAGAGGTTTATCAAAGATAGTGAATAACAAGATGGGCCACTCAGCCAAAAAAGTGTCCGCAGGAAGTATGCTCTTTGCTTCAGATGGCGCTGCAGTCTGTTTTGAAGCTCTCTTTCGTTTTTCCAGAAGAAGAATAGGAATAACACCTCCTTGCGTGCGCAGATCGACTGCTGTTCATCAGCAGTTCGGGTACGTTCAGTGCGGAGTTTTAGGGTTTTTTATTTTAATGACCTCTCGCCTTTCATTCTAAAGTCAAATTAATCGAAGAAAACCATCACCCTTTTCTCCGGAAGAGGTTTTTTGTCAGCGTAACCATTTAAAAAAAAGTTTTCTTCCGTAATTTATCCCAAAACTTGCTAGTTTCACTTTCATTTTTAAAAACTCAAGTAGGGTAACTCTGTTCGCAAAAGTGCGCTTTTGTGAAGAGGGCGCCACCAAATTTTGAGGACACTTTTTTAATTGGCTCAAAGAGAGAAGTGGCCCATCTTGTTATGTACTATCATTGGGTTTATTAAATACCATCAGTTTCGATACCACAAATAAAAACCAGCGCACATTTCCGAAACCCCTTCCTCCTTTTACGACTACTACTTCTACTACTACTGCAGTTGTTGATACTACTATTACACTACTGCTGCTTTTCTGTCATTTTGTTTGTGTTTTATGCCCTACCCCACTCTGTTATTACCCCCATTGCTTATATTTACAACAATGATAGAACATGTTTTCAACCTACGTCTGTGATATTGTAATAACACCCGTCCGCCAAACGTTTTTCACTTACGTGCAGGAGTCTTGACAACAATACTTACGACCTTTGAGAAAATGTTTGAATCCTGTCAGACAGATAGATCTGTCTATTCCATAATTTTTCAGGGTATAATTCAGTGACATGTATTTTGTTTATACCTTTATATGTCATTTTCAAGTGTTTTTTGGGGAGGGAGAAAAGTTTTTTTTAATAGTAAATAAGATAACAATAAAAGGTAAAAGAATTAAGACAGTACTTGTTGTGTATGCTCAAATAGACATTTTAATGTTGAAAGTGAATCCTTCTCAGGTGTCTATTGTCTCGAGTGTGCAGTCTTCATAATTTCTTTTGTCACAGTGTGAGCACTGTTGCGCACTGTTGCGCACTGTTGCGCACTGTTCGAACATACGCACTGACGGGACCGACGAAATAGAAATATCTTGTTGGCGTGAAAGTAAAATTACACCCCCCCCCTTTCCACAAACATACTCATTCACACTTTCCGTAATTTTTGCAAGAAATAATTTGAAAGTATTTTTCGTGCATGACTTCGGGGCAATCAAAAATAATATTATTACTATAATCCTGAGGAGAGGAAAGACACCGCATATACATGCCATACCAGATCAAGTAAATTCCGAATGGAGAAAAGGGGTAGGAGAGAGGAGGAAAAAAAACAAGTTGGGGGTGGGGGGGGGGGGAGTAAGTTTACTATAACTCATAACCGTTGCATTGTGGACCAAATGACTGAGATAAAAGAGGTTTCCCCGACTGCCGACTGATGCACGTTCCAGGGCTTTGTTTCCGGAATCGTGCCGACAAATCTACAAAGAAAGTTGACTTGAATGGTGTCGTGAGAACTGCGTCAGTCTCTGCGATGCTCCAAAACAAAGAAAATTTTGGATAGGTGCGCAGTTCCAGAGGCATGTCTCTGAAGTGTCTTATTTGAATGAATCTGTACTTTTAAGGTTTAAAGCTTTTTATATATTGAAAAAGTAGCAACTTAATGTTTCAAAAACGTACGTTTTCTTAAATTTGATAATAAATTTATTCTTTTAAGAAGAAAGGACTTTTTCTAACGATTTATTTGAATATGAGGTGAATGTGTGAGGAAAGTCTTATTGGAAAGTCTTATTTATATGGAGGGGGATTGGCAATAGGTGAGAGACATAGAGAGAGAAAAGTAGAGGGACAGAAAGAGACATGGAAGAGAGAGGGAGGGGGGAAGAAAGAAAGAGAGAGAGAAAGAGAGAGAGAGAGAGAGAGAGAGAGAGAGAGAGAGAGAGAGAGAGAGAGACAGAGACAGAGACAGAGAGAGAGAGACAGAGAGAGAGAGAGAGGGAGAGGGAGAGGGAGAGAGAGACAGAGACAGAGAGACAGAGACAGAGAGACGAGGAGAAAATGAGAGAAATCATTATCAAGTTTCAGATCTGCGACCCACATCGGCGATCATGGCTTTCCATTTATTCCTTTGCTCGGATGCTCGCAAAAAGCAACATCTCCCCGATTTTCCCCAGTCATTTTGGACGACACAATTTAGATAGTTTAGGAGGCGGACTTCCGATCCTGCCTGTCAGGGTCAACTTAGGCTGAGAAGGATACATCCCAGCTGAAATATCGAGATCTGCATGAAACAGAGAAACCCCTTTCTGCTACACCACAAACGCCGGTTCAAATGAGAACAAAATTTCAATTCCCATCAATATCAGATTGGACAATTTTAATAAAAACTTGGATTCCTTCTAATTTTAATCATAATATCAATAACAGATACTATCTATATGTCTCTTTGTTGTTTGAGTAGAGGTTTTACGACGCTCGCAACTGCATAAGGTGATGAGCGGCAGAAGATTAGAAGTGTTACAAGAGAGTAACAAATATAAAAAAGAAGAAGGGGAGGTAAGAACAATAGATGTTTGATAGGAAAAAAACGAAGCAAACCACATCAGAGCACCCGCCAACCACACACTATCCATATGTCTCTCTTAACAAAAATAACACCTCAAGAAAAACAATAATAATGTAAACATAGTCAAATTAAGAAAGAAAACGTACATTTTAGCAAGTCAAAGAGCTTTCCGCTTTCAGTGGAGACATGGGTGGGACCAGATTTATCTCTGGTATCATAATAAAACAGGAGGTTAGAGCGACAAGTCACACATAGAGACAAAACAATCATCGTAGTAAGATGATGTACGACCCCACCACAGAGTCGAAATGGCCTCTCTCTTATGAACCTCCCGGGAAACCATTGGATTTTCTCTGATTCCGCTTTCATAAGTATAACTGATAATATTTGCATTTATATTGTGCATACCCATGCTCATCTGCATGCTTTATGCACTTTAAGGCTATTATTACCCAGGAGAGCCTAGAACACAAAGAAAAATTCGCGACTTTTCGGGAAGCATAACGAGCAAGCTGCGGATTTCCCTTGCCTAAACACTAACGAACTGACAAGACCTTTCACTGTCTTCAGCCAGATACCCATTTCCAACTGGGTAAAGTGAGGACAAGTGTGTAAAGTGCCCTTCCCAGGGACACTACGTGCCCCCTCCCCCTCCTACCCCCGGACGGGCTTCCAACCCACAACTTTTATGGTTGCCACTAGGCCATTGACGCTTTATAGACTATCTGCTAGCCTGCTGTTCTTGTCATAGACGTATACTGTAATATTATCCTAGACTGTTCACTCTGACGTAATGTCAGTTCACCATGGAGCGCACTATTTTGTGTCTGTTCCGAGCCGAATTAAGAGCAAAAAAAAACCAAAAAAAAGGAAGGGGGGGGGTATCCCCTGCAATCATGACACACTATGGATAACATCTTCTTCAGCGTGTCATAACCTCAGAAGGTACATCTCAGAATTAAATAGGTAGCCACTGTAGTCTCATAGTTTGCCCGCACTACTAGAAATCATGAGATTGCTGCTTTGCGAGTTTGAGAAAAATCTCGGTCCAACGCTGCGCCCTTGGGAAATGTACTTCACAAAAATGTCCCATTTGCTTAGCCTTATCGGACAAAGACGTTTAATCTGGAATTCCGGCCTCCTAAATAGCTTTACAATACTTCAAGGAAAGTTAAACTTATACAAATTCGTAAATTCATTCTTTTTTCTTGGGAATGAAAGGGAAATAACTCTATTGGGAAATCATTACTCATGACTTGCATTCATTATGCCCCCTTTAACCGAAATGAGTACTAGGGGTGGGGGTTGGGGGGGGGGGGGGGGTTCTCTGGAACATTGACATTTATTTTACCACAGATGCTAGCTTTTTATACGCTTCTTTGCAGAACTAAACTCTGTCCAAGTCTAGACGTTTTCTTAAAAGCTCGAAGCATCTGTATTTCTTTGTCATCCTACTGATTCGAGTAGCTTGTGCGGTCGGTCGTTACACTCTCAGTATTGGTTATAATGTATTGGTTTCAGCGCATTCCTTAGTGTAACAAGGAACACTTATTGTGTTTTACCCCAGGTGCTAGCTTTTTGAGTGTTTCTTTGCAACTCATTCCAATCCTAAATATGTTTCGAAAAGCAGGAAACAGCTTTATTTCCTTGTCCTCCTGCTGTTTTGAGTTATTTGTGCAGTCGATCGATACACTTTGAGTATTGATTATGAGTTTATTAGTTGTTGTGCGCAACACATTTTTTTTCACACAGGTGTTAGCTTTTTATAATTGCCTTGCACGACTGAACTCTACTACCAAAGCTTATTTTTTGTTTTTCTTCTTGTTGTTTTTAACTCAGATGCTAGTGCTTTAATGACTTTTTTGAGCGACTTAACTCTATCGATGTGTAGATGTGTTCTGAAAAGAGGGATACGTCTT